GTGCCCAGGACTCCTCAAACTCACTGTTCAGCAATCAAGATCCTTGGAGTTTGTGCCAGGATACTCAATTGCCTCCTATGCCAACCAAAATACAATTGAGAAAAGAACCATATACAGAAATGCGAATGGACAATGGAGGTCAACAGCCACCAGGCAATTTGAACAGGGATCTTAGTTCAGAGCATGCTCCGTCGTCCAAAGGTTAGTTACGTGATGATTTGCCTTTACTTTCTAGATAAGTTAATTATTTCATATGAACTTTTCATAATATTTTGCTTCTTTGTCGCAGGATCAGCAGAAGAACAAATAAAGCAAGAACTTCAAGCTGTTGCCGAGGGAGTAGCTGCTCGTGTTTTTCAGTCATCTACGCCATCAGATTCTTACTTGCATGATAAAAATGAGTCTGCTTATGAATCCAATCGAGATGAAGAGGTTCAAAACAATGCTGCAGGGATGCAAAACAGATCAGAAAGTGAGGTATTTAAGAATTCATATATGTACATGTGTGAAATTATTTTATTATTTGTATGTGTTCTCTCCCTCTCTGAAAAAATATTCTAGGCTCTCCTGTTGTTTATCTTCTAACTTCCGCTTTCTATTTTAGGATGTCAAATCCAACTTTGCAGATAAGCCAAATCTTGGTTTTCCAGTAGCAGATGGCCTAGGCCGGTTGCAGGTGAAAAATTGGTTTCCATTTATATGTATTGTGATGTTGTGATATTACCGTGTAACATTGACCGATTTCTTATTCTTTTGGCAGATTATAAAGAACAGTGACCTTGAAGAGATGAGAGAATTAGGTTCCGGAACTTTTGGTACCGTTTATCATGGAAAATGGAGGGGCACTGATGTTGCAATCAAAAGAATCAATGATAGGTGTTTTTTCGGGAAGCCTTCAGAACAAGAGCGCATGGTTTGTCTTTTTGTCGCACTAGTTTCTAAAACTTTTAGCTTTCATTCATTCATACCTCTTTTACTTAATCCGTATGTTGTGGTTTATGTGTTCAAACAGAGAGATGATTTCTGGAATGAGGCCATCAAGCTTGCTGACTTGCACCACCCCAATGTGGTAGCTTTCTATGGTGTTGTGCTTGACGGACCCGGAGGTTCTGTGGCAACAGTGACAGAATATATGGTTAACGGCTCTCTGAGAAATGCCTTGCAGAAAAATGAGAAGTAATGTATTTGCTTGGCATTTTGTTGTTTGTAATTTTAAAGTGGGATAAAAATCTGACACAGATTTAATTTTATCAGGAGTCTAGACAAGCGCAAGCGCCTCATGATTGCAATGGATGTGGCATTCGGAATGGAGTACCTGCATGAAAAGAAGATAGTACACTTTGATTTGAAAAGTGACAACTTACTTGTCAATCTTCGAGATCCACACCGCCCAATATGCAAGGTAGTGCCTTTATTTTGCTCCTTGCATTCTCATATTCTGGTTCATTTTGTGGTAGATGTGATCTTTCGTTTCTTATAATAAGCCACATACTTGTTTAAAATGCAGCATCTTTTTCAAAAACGCACATTTTTCATTGACATGCTTTATAAGATGCTTCTTGTGTAACATACTGTAATTCGTTTACGTGTTTAGAATATTGTGTTCACCGGTTTCTTTCTGATGCCAGGTCGGTGATTTGGGCCTATCTAAGGTGAAATGTCATACGCTGATCTCCGGTGGTGTGCGGGGAACACTTCCATGGATGGCACCGGAGCTGTTGAATGGTAGCAGTAGCCTTGTTTCTGAGAAGGTTTGTGTTTTCTTATTTAATTTATTCTGAATCTTCTCAAATGATTGCCACTCACTTCTTAGACCTGTTTTTATTGCTTAGCTATTTACCCTCCTCTTTTGTTGCATGCAATAGGTCGATGTGTTTTCTTTCGGTATCGTGTTGTGGGAGCTGTTCACTGGAGACGAACCATATGCGGATTTGCACTATGGTGCTATCATAGGTATCTTCTACTGCTCAATACAACTTCACACTTGTTAACAATGCTCGGCTCCTTGAGGTTTTACTCAGATTCGGAGAAGCTGATATCCTGCTGTTCATATGTTAATGCAGGTGGTATTGTGAGCAACACATTGCGGCCACCAATACCGGACTCTTGCGATCCTGAATGGAAATCACTGATGGAGAGATGCTGGTCATCAGAGCCGTCTGAGAGGCTGAGTTTCACTGAAATTGCGAACGGATTACGCTCTATGGCAGCAAAGGTTCCTCCTAAAGGATAGACCCAACCGCAGCAACCCTCGGCAACATAGCCTCAGGTTTGAAAATGGTCTTAGTCAAGTTGCTTCATCGTCGATGTCTCGCCGGCGCCGGTACCCGTGTGTTTCTAGCCCTTGGAAAATAAACTTAATATTTGCCTTGCTTTATAGTGATGGGGAAGTTGTTTTATTGTTTTATAGAAACATTTAGGTCTTATAAAAGTCTCAACTCATATAGATTTTACCTTTGAATCAACTTCAATACAAGCACTTATCATTGGATTGTATTGAAGCTTAATCTCTGTCGGGATAAGACTTTGTTGTTGTTTTGTCACTTTGTACACTAGTAACATATTAGGGTTAAATGAAACATGTTCGATTGGCCCGAGTTGTAATCGAAACAAAGATTAAACCTTGTTAAAGTCTTGAGGAAAATGTAATGTATCCACGAACATGAGTGTTGTGGAGTTATTTGGCTATTTGCAGTTGCACTGAAAAATGAGATCCATAAAGTATAATTGTCTAATGAAGAGTCTAAATTGAACTTCAGAATTGGACATCAAGATCACCTAGATTGTCAGTAACATCTAAAACACTACCATGCCAAAGCTTAATAGATGTGTTTCGGTTTCGGTTATAAAATTTTGGGAAAAACTTACCTACAACGGAAATGTCACTGTAACGATATTTTAAGTCAGTTACACGAGAATATCAGTCCACTCCTTTTGTATTTTGGGCCTACTCATCCCCTTCTCGTCCCATCCGATGAGTATTTGATCGGTCAACCACATGGTCCAGACAGAAGAACTCCTCTAATCACATATTATGTGTAGTTTTCTTTTCACGTGACATTGTATGATTGATTTAAGATTTTTTGTCAATATTGATTACTTCTTATGGGGGATACAGATACTTCCCTATATTTGTTTAGGCCACCATGACATTCCAAACTAACGATGTCATTACAACAAATTAAAATGCCATAATATTACATTATTGATCCAAAATACCACGACGGCACTCCACATGTTTAGGTCCTGTCTTCGTTTATTTTGTTTTGATCAATAGCAAGTCGTCCTTTCTTAGGGCGTGTGGGTTGTGGCGGGGAATGTTTACGGCACTGCGTTAGGGCGCGTATCAACTATGGCGGGAAATGTTAAGATTTGGAGATATTTTTCAATGTGCTCGAAGTACAGAGCGAAAATACCACATTTCATTATATAATTAGAGAAAGTTATTTTTGAGTATCATTTCAATTCTATAATAAGAAGTAGTATTTTGTCCCGTGTTTCCGGCATTTTGAAATCCCTCTGAGATTTGCATTAGGAATTCCTTGTTTTGTTTCCACAAATCTACACCACCCTATCAAATCTTTCCTCGAAAATCTATAAATCCTAAATATTGAGCAACTCTTTCTTTCCATATGTGTGTGTCTATACATATCTCCTGTTTCCTTTTTCTCTCTTTCTATCCCTTTCCCTTCCCTTCCCTTCCCGCCCCTTCCCCTCCCCTATAAATTAACACCCTTCCACTCCAAGTGCAACACAGATTCTCTCTCTCTCTCTCTCGACCAACCGTGCTCATGTCAAACCACGGTTCACTTCGCGAACACAAAACAGATATGGATGTTTCTACTTCTTCTACGTCTTCTTGCGGTTTTCGTGGTTGTTTTAGGACTTCCGGATCACGCAACAACAATGGTCACGAACGCCAGCATGAAGGCGGAGGAAGGCTCAAGGAGACAACATGATGGAAGAAGAAGCTGAACGAGGCTAAGAATAGGTTGTGCTGAAACAAGAAGCAAAAGTAAGCAACGTCGTAAGACATTGATAGTTACGCTCTCAATTTCGACGAAGGTGTTGGCAGGGGAGCCGATGCTACTCTTGGCTTCGCAGCAAGGTTCGCTGACCCTTTTACCAATGAAGATGGTTCCGTAGGCAGAGAGGTTCGCAGTGTTGGATAAATATCAACAATCAATGATAACTTTATATATGCTAATAAATGATGAATGCGAACAACTAACTTAACAGAGTATGAACATGAAATAATATTAAACAGAAAAAACTAAAGATCAAGGTTTGCATTCCGCAATGTCCTTGAAACAGATATTTCGCCCTTACTCAGTGCTTGTAGTTCTACGGACGTCTCCTTCACCAAGATTCAATGATCAAGTTAAAATTCCAGCACCGAAAAACTTAACTCCTGACGAATTTCTTTGTGGATCTCTCAATAAGAATGCTTTGGATTATAGAAGAAGAATTATGTTTTTCTATGTTCTAAATGTCATGCAGATGAATGTATATATAATAGGATTATGCATGTTCGCAACAGGTATGAAAAATGGTTGCATCTGTTAGGAGACATGTAAAAAATAATTAAATAATTAAATTCGAAATTAATTTTCAAAGCTCAAGAAGGCCCAAGGCCCATCTTTTGATAATTAATTATATATTAATTACTAATTAATTAGTACACCCTAAAGCTCAACCTCAAGGTTGAGCCCAATTTCATTCTCTATGGTCCATCACTCTAATTACTATTGGTAAGGAACAAAACCTTATAAAGCGAGAAAACCTTTTGAGAATGGCCAGTGTGAGACAATGAAATTTCTACTCAAAATTTCCACCACGCATAACCGATGAATCACCTTTCGTAGAATGCAGAGATTAGATTCAGTGTCGTGTCTGCTGTCTTGTTTCCATTTTTGATAGGTTTTCTTGCGCTGTAAGAAACAGAACAATCTGTATTCTTATATCAGTTGTATTTTTTGCCTTAAAATTACAGATTCACATTCTTCATAGACATTCTCATTCATAAAAATATGTACAGAAAGCAAGCGTTTTATTTTATATGCGATCAGTATACAAAAAATCTATCTAGATCCACCGAAACGTGGTCCATTAAGGCTACCTGGTTCGAGTTTTTCGTGTTACATGCTTAGAGTTTGATGATATTATGGTACTATAAGACATGGATAGTGTCGGGGTGCCTCGGACTCGAAGCGATCGATCCAAAGATGGGTAGCATACCATTTGAAGGCTTGAAGCTTTTACTGTACGAGAAATATTAAATTCCTTGCTCTCTGTTGCTAGATTTTCGACTAAAAGCATGACATTTACTTCAATCGTTGGTTGTTCATGTCACCTGCATTACTTTTTTTTCCAAATTACACATTGAGACAAGTTTATATGAAGTTTACGAAACAAATTGACTCGAAAAACAACCATATTATGTTAATCGTAATCCTACCTCTTGCGTTTGCTCTTCAGAACGGAAGTCGATGAAATGTTGGTGTGCCAATTCCTTTTTCTTTGATTAATAAACCAGTTATTGATCTGTTTCAACTGCAAGCCTGTTTCCTGCACCAATCTGGCCTTGTCTTCCTCCTATCGAAGCGAAAGAGCGTCTTAATTAGTAGCTATTACAAAAGAATCTGCTAAACTGAAAGCTTCAAGGGGATTATAACAAAGTTCAAACTCACTGTCGGGTAAGGCCACTTGGAATGCGATTGCCACCAAGATTTTAAGACAGAAGTTGTGTCGCCTGGCAGTTTCCCCGCTCTTCTCTTGCGCAGAATTTCCTCTCTAATGTCGACGATCTTTTCCTTGTAACCCTAATAAGCAGAGGTTATCAGCTACACTAATTGTCCACACCGAAAATGTATATATACGCTGTAAGTCTATAGTTCTTACCTGTTTCAGTTCATGCTTCAGTTCCTGCCTTACACGCTCCATTAAGGACCTCTCACTTTCAGTCGGAACAAGAGGGCCAAATCCCATGGTGTCTGGCCCGTCCAGGCTTCCATCATAGGAGTTGATGTCGCTATCTACCTGGTCGTCATCATCGGACATGGTAGCACCCGTTCCTTCACCCGTGGATACACCTGTGAAAGCAGCTTAAAATATTTAACTGTAAACCATCCATAAACAAATGTTGATCACAATCAACAACCAACAACGAGCAATAACAACTACACAAGATGTTTTATCCTATATCTGAATTTATAGAGGCAGGCAGGCAATCCAAAGTGACAACACTAATCAAACCTAAAAGACTCGACAAAAATAAAAACTTCGAGTCAGTGCAATTGCTGCCCTCGTCTTTCCTCTTCATACCGATGAAGTCTTCAACAGCGCCAAACTGACATCAACCTCAAACTCAAAACATTAGGATTCACGATAACAATGGAAACAATGTCGATGGTTTCGCTATTGCAAAATCCCTCCTTTCGCAGATACCTAAACACATAGAGTTAAACATAGTTTTTTCGGGGAAGGGCAGTAAAAGAACAACTATTAGGCAGCTTTATACAAACGATGCTCACATTTAGGACACACCAAAAACAGTTTAGCACATGGGAAGTAACATTCATGTTCTTGTCCTTTGTCCCTGTCTCCTACTTTTCGTACAAAGGAAGCGAAATGGGGAGGAAAGGATCGAGATTTATGGGGCGATCGAAACTAAAGAAACAAAAATTACCTGTTAAGCTTTGCAGAGACTGATCAAGCTCCCAACACGCCATCACTGCTTCCATGGCGTGAACTCGGACATGCTGCTGCAGTTGTTCCTTGAAGGAACAAAGCAAAAGAACATAATTCGTCTACAAAATCACAACGAGCAAAGATCAGATGACGAAAACCGAAAGTTTAACAAATTTATGAACATCTCGACATGTTAGACCCTCAACCAACATCGTAACTAAAGTGTTTTGGTACATAATTACAATGTGACTTGTATAAAGTACATAAATTTATTTAGAGAAGAAAGAGAACACCAAAGTAAGAACTAGGCGTGAGCGGATTAGGCGAGCAGAACTACGCACCAGGATTCGATTGTCTGGATACATACCTAAACGTTTAGACTTAATATTATAGTAGAAATTATAAAGAAATTGGAGAGATCGATCTGCAGAACAAATTCTAATTCCAAGACATGCCACTAATCAAACTACTAATTAAAGGGTTAAGATTCTCCAAAGCACTTGTAAAGTGGAATAATTAGAGAATTAAGCAACATGATTCTTCACTGCCACCTCAACTAATTAAACGACACTCTAAAAATATCCAGAAATTAAAAATGTTTTAAACTTTCAATAATATGGAATTAAAAATTAATTAAGATTTAATTAGTGCTAACCATGAACAAATCAAGTTCTTTCTCATCCATGACTCCAACATCCCCATTGGCTCGGAGCGCCGAGTAGTTGTCGACCACGCGCTGCGACTGCACGAGCTTCTCGTCGATCCTCGGCAGCTGATCGACCGGCGTCGCGATCCTCAAGCACGACACGTGCGCCGACACAAGCTGCTCATACAGCGGATGTCCCACGATGTCGGCCTTGAACCTCGCGCTCTCGCACTCCAACTCGTCTTCCCCCTCCTCCTCTTCTCCGCCGTCGTACCCGCTTATATCCCTCCGGTTCCGATCGCTGCAGCTGCTGCTCTTCCCGGACGGCGATATGACCACGTCGTCGTTTCTCCCCGCGTCGTGGAGGCCGCTGAAGCTGGTGTTCTGCTGGCGGAAAGCTGCGTTGTTGAGCCACGTCAGAGCTCCGGAGAGCGGCGGCTGGTCCTCCGCGAAGGAGTGGAACGCCATTTCGTGAGGGGTCTGCTGGTGGTGGTGATGAAACGCCATTTTTTCGAGTTGAATTGTGAGAAATCAGAGAGAAGAGCTTAAAGCTTATGGCTTTTTCAGTGCATATAGGAAAAGCGCGGTTTGGAAAAGCCAAAAGCGGCTTTTGAGTCAAGAAAGAAGGTGGGGTTTGTTGAAAGTTTGAAACTTGAATGTGTTATTAAGCAATTAAGGAAGGAGGAGTCCTACAGTCTGCAGAGAGTGACGGAGAAGACGACTTTTGGTTGCGTGAGGACCGAGGAAGACAATTGGACGGCCAGATTGATAGACACGTGTCGAAGTAGACAAAGATTTATTGTTGATGATTGTAATAAGTACTCTAGACTAGTAGATTTGCAGCAAGTAGCTGTAGCCTGTAGCTATATATGTGGATAAAGGTGCACGGGCGCATACTAGGCACATTCTAAAACCAAGTACCTAACACTTTTATTAGTATATATATTATCGTGTGACACGTACTCAAAAGTTTTTGTGATCATCGCGCACAAGTTACTTGATGTTATTGTTCTACTTAAATTATACTACATCTGTACATGTATCAATTAACTAATCTTATGAGAATTGGTCCCTAAAAAAAAAAAAAAAACTAATCTTATGAGAAAGTGTTCAAAGGTCCATTTGATTAGTTGGTCGGGTCACCTATATATCACACGTGAATGCTTTCATTGCAAGTTACATATGCGTAGGGTCGAATTGTAGCCAACTACTTTAGAATATGTTTCATTGTGAGAGCATAACTGTCCAGTTGATCAAGTTGTCCTGCGTAACGTTTGTCTGAATTTATTTAGTTTTTATTACTGGGAGAAGTGAGGAACATAGAATGGTTGAGTAACAGTGTGAGAAAGGTATAGAAGCATTACAATAAAATCTCAATAAATGAATGTTCGCGGTCATCATCAAATCTTTCAGCCCCAACTTGGGTCAATGTACAAAGATTATAACCTCGGTTAAATAATAAAACATTTCAATTCATTCTAGTGGTATTTTTTTTTTACTTATAAGTAGAAGGTCTTAGGTTTGATTCTGTCAAAAGTAAATTTGAATCATATTATGCTAACATATTATAGGACTTAGCTTGATTTTTCACTCTCTTAGTGTCGACAGTAACGTTTGCTAAAAAACAAAAACAAAACATAGAGTGGTGAAATGGACATAGGATGTGTTGATTCATTTATTTTAGTTTGGAGTGTTTGGACCGTTTGGTGGCATTGTGGGGTATAATTGCTTCCTACTTCAACCTTTGGGGCTTTCCCTCTTGTCTCTTCCACTAAACTATTTGCCTTGCCCTAACAAAATAATATCTAAATAAGATATTTAAACAATTACCAATCTCTTGGAGCCATATATAGATACGCACAAACACATAGATTTTGTATTGTTGCAAGAAGTTTCTAATATGATTTCGACAGAAGGTGCAGCTGTTGGCATGGTGGAAGGACTATAGACATTGAAATTATACGTGTCTATATTTTAAAAAGACATGGCAGCGATTCATTATTAAGATACTGTTCCTCAACTAGCATCTTATAATTTTCAGGTGTGTAAGAAGTTTCTTAAATGACTTTCGTAGAAGTTCCAGCTGTTGATATGGTGGAGGGAATATAGACATTGAAATTATACATGTCTATATTTTAAAAAGAAGTGTTAGCAATTAATTACTAACTACACTGATATTGTTCCTCAACTCGCATTTTATCATCTTCAGGTGTGAAATTTTTATCACTAAAAACTTGATGTAGCGAGAAATAAACCACGCTCATCATATTTAATTTGTTAATTTTCTGATTCGAGATGTTTAATATTTTCAACAATATATGTTTTAAAAAGACATAAAAATGAAGAAGTTGGTCGACAAGAAAGAAAGGAAAGTATGGAAAGGAAGGAGCAACTTTTCTTTTCTTGTGCTTTAATCCTTGAGATACGCTTGACCAATGGAAGTTTTTAAGGTCAAGACAAAATACCAAGATGTCACTCAATGAAATATTCAATCACAACAAATCTTATGGCAATATCTTGGATAGATTTCTGACTATATTCGGAATACGAGCCGGAATATTATAGGTCATTACATAATTAGAGAAAAGTGTTTTTTTTTTCTTTTTCAAGCGTCCAACTAATTATATAATGATATGTGGTGTTTCGTCTCGTGCTCCGAACACACTGAAAAATATTTCCAATATCTACCATTTTATTTAATAAATTCACATGATGAGTTCATGGTTTAGCACATATATTAGAGTAATTCGTGTGAACTCAAACGATAAGATTGTGGTGGGGCAATTGTGTCTATACTTGAGATTATGTGTTTGACTTGACGCAAGTATATGTTTTTCAAGATGTTAATAATTTCGGACCGAATTAAACTTAGATTTATATGATCTAATCTACCCACATAGGTGGTGAGTGGATTTCAGCCCAATTAGGTTGATCTTGGTAAGGATTTTTTGAACCGTATGAATGTAGGCATAATTACTAAATGGATAGTGATTAGGCACTAATACGATTCTAATTTATTGTGAAAAAGGTGATAAGCACATCGAACACATTCAGAAAATATCACAATGACGTAACTATTGTGTAGGGTAACTAATGTCTAATTATTTAGTAAAGATGGAACATGTGATCATAAATTTAAGATTATGAAGACACTTTTTTATGCAATAATTAGCAAGATTCATCATTAGTCGTAAAATACATACAACGATTATGCACTCTCAATTTAGCTCTAGGTTATTCAAGTCATTTATTTGATAAGTTATTTACCATCACTATTAGAGTTTTAGGATGAAATATTAAGTACGAGAATATGATTAGCCAGTTGATCAGATCACACTAAAAGAAATGAGATGGGTGGTTTAAAAGTTGCACTCAATATGGAGCCGGATAATATCGAGATGCAGTAGAACTTCGTTCTTTTGCAATAGTGCTTAACCGTTAAATTGGTTTAAGTTGTTCTACTCAAAATTTTCTCATCGATCCGAAACTAGGTTCAAGAAGAGGATAATATAATAAATCAAAATTCAAGGAGCGTGCAAATGTGGCTATGGTTGACAGATGTGGGGGAGGTCGTTAGATTTGATCGGTCCATGTAACGACACTGATTACACGGGAGGGACAGTGTACCAAACTCCCCAATCAATGACGTTCGCTTTTCGGACGTCCTCGTCAGAGGTCCTTACCCTTGCGCACAGTGACCTCAAACCCGTACGAGCACACGTGTCGTCCCTAGGTTTCATGGACCACCTGGGAATACACGCCCCATCGTCGGAGAATCCTGTTCGTACAGCTGTAGAAAAAAGCAGCAGCAGAAGGAAGGTGGTGGGGACCACCTGCAGGAGGAGAAACATAAGTGATAGCTGATCGGCCGTAGGACTGAATTTGGCGCTAGCGGATGAAGGCACTGCAGGACCCCTTCACGCCCAGCTGTTCGTGGTCCCCACCCTCTCTATTTGCTTGCGCCCTATTGGGCCGAAAGAGAGAAGGGCTACATCTTCGTCGTTTTCCAATGGGCCTTGCGACTGCGGTGCCCAAGGTGTCCTTTCCATTGAGACAGAAGAATTCGTAGAAGTTTGAGATGGGTCCACCCAATCCAGACCGTACGTTTGTTTGTCTTTGGATCTTGTCCGACCAATTCATCTACCTTCATAAACATCATTTGTTTCTTTTTTCACTTTTTATTTTTTATTTTTTTTCTAAATTATTTTGCCAATTGACGAACTGATTCCTTATCCTTGGAAGGGCCAAGCACAACTTTGATGAAGCCTCCCCTTCTATTTGCTGCAATGGACCGGGTTGAGGCCCAAAAACAGATCCAATTCCAAGTTAAATATTTGTAGCATTTGCAAAAAGAGAAAACGGAAGTGCAAACATCACTCCCCAATTGGGAAGTAATGTTTTTGTATGTAGGTGCATTTCATGCATACATACATACATACATTTTATACATACAATTGGCGTTGCGCTATCCAGTTAATTCTTACACATCCCTTATTAATTTATGTCATTTAATCTTTTTCATTTCACTCAATTCGACAATGGAAAATTGAGGGGAATGTGTGGGAGATAAAAAGGATATGTGGATATCACAACTGTACAACTAACCAGTATGAAGTTGGTTTAAACAATAGCATCTAAGATATCTTCAAACTATAGCATATACCAATGCTTCTTAGTTCTTATCAGTAATGTTCGTTATGCTATGTTGCCTGACTAGGTAGGATGCGATGGTATCTTAAGTCAATCACGCATCGTCACAATAAAATGTTAAAATACACGACAATGCCTGATAGGCTTGCAATACCGCCACTATCATCGAAACGCATAAAGCACAACTTAAGCAGCAATACATTCTCATTACAAAATCTTAGCAGAAACAAGATTTAAGTACAATTATAACTTTAGAAGGCTCTTAACAAAAATATTAAATCAACGAACCAAACAATATTAACAGTTATATATGTTATATCCAAATGCAATGTGCATAAAATGATCAAGGAAAACTCGGAGAAAGGGAAGGCTTTGCCACCTTGAGCTCTCCGCAGTCGCTGATATAAACGGTTTTGAGAGGTTTGTTCCACAGAACTCGAGCATTCCCAGCTATCTCGTCACCTAAAAACTCGGCGAAATCGTTGAATTGCTGTATATTCTCCTAAGGCCTGTAGGTCGGTATGGCATCTATGGCTGTCACAACATCCATACCTAAACAAAGCAGACCAAAATTAATGGGAAATGTTTTCCGCAATCTCGTTTTCTGCTAATGGAGTCCTTCATTTGTTTGTGTGATAAAGGGCTCATTTCGGATTGCTTCTCAAGCAAGCATTTTTGGTTTACAAGCGCTTCTGCTACAAGTACTTTTATCCTAGACACATTGAAATTTTTATTAAAATACAAGTGCTTAAAGAAGCAATTGAAAGTGCTTATCTGGAAGCGCTCTCTGTAGTATCGGGAAGTACTTCCTAAAGTAACTGACTATGAGAAAGTGCTTTCTGAACCATCGAAAGGCACTTCCGGAAGACACTAAACTAGAGAAATGCAGAGGAGAAAAATAGAGTGCGGAAATTAGATACTCAGGAAAAAGCTCGAACCTTCAATTTAGCCATCGGTCTTTCAAGTTATTTATCATCACCGTTAGAGTTTAGAGATGAAATATTAAGTGTTAAAGTATGATCCGGCCGCTGATGAAATCACGCTAAAAAGAAGTGAGATGGGTGGTTTAAAGGTTCCACCCTATATGGAGCTGAATAATCCGAATGCAGTAGAACTTTGTTCTTTTGTGAGAGTGCTTAACCATTAAAGTAGTTTAAGTTGTCCTACTCAAATTTTTCTCATCCGTCGGAAACTAAGTTTAAGAAGAGCATAATATAATAAATAGAAAACTTAATTCTAATCCTTGCCAAAGATGACTTTTAGACTAAAACCATGAGTAAGATCAAAATATAATTCTAGTCCCTTGATACATTAATAACCTCATTTATTAATTACATTTTGATTTTTAATTATTTCTTATTTTCTTCCTAATTTTAATGTATTAATTTTATTTCATTATAATTATAATTTTCATTTTATTTATCGTAATATATTTTGTTGTAAACATTTTAATAAACTAATTTTTGTTATACACTAAATTCCGATGTAATTTGTCTTCTTTATTTAGGTACATTAAATTCACTATAATACATTTCGGTGCATACATTTAGGTACACATATTTCGGTACACTTGTTTTCAAAATTAGGTACATCAATAATAATCTAACTATCCTTTTAATGCATTTCGGGCATCATTTATCGGTTGAGCGCACGTTGATTGTATCGCGATTGCGACCGAGGAAGGAACGCTCTCGGTCTCTGGATTCTATAGCCTGAAGACAAGGCTACTAATTCTACGGAGTTCACAACTCGTCGAAGCCTGATTCGGCCACTGTGATTATATTCGTAAGAGTATAAGCACGCCGAATTGAGACCAAACTATACGGGCACAGGTATTCGAATGTGATGTATGTCTTGATGGTAAACGTAGTTCGGCCGTCAGAATGCCGAACCCTGAAACTTACTTGTGAGTATCCAATCATAAACTCACTCGGCCTCCAATGCGCCGAGCAGGGCAATTCGTAACACCCAACTATGCCGAAATGGCTTAGTAAGATGACCTCTACCAACAAAGGTTCGAAAACCTTCCTCGGCCGAGACTTAGATAGATAATCGGTCGACCTCGACGCAGTGCTGTTTATCCAAACTGAAGGTGTGTCTCGGTCGGCTGATTCTGCGGCAGCAGTGCTGTTTATCCAAACTGAAGGTGCTCACCGGTTGCTTCCACAGTGCTGTTTATCCAAACTGAAGGTGTGTCGGCGGGAAAAGAAAAGGAAAAATCTCAAGGTGTTTGAGAGAATTTGCGCAGGGCAATTGTATGCTGATGTTGAAGGGTCTTTTTCATTGTGTGAATTCTTGTATTTATAGCACTCGTTTCCCTGAAACCAATTTGTACTCTGATTCGGATTGGGAGTCCTTATACCATTTCGCCTCTAACTCGAACATTCCCACTCCTACTGGGATTCTGAATTTTCCTCCTTTTAAGGCTCAATTCCTTGCTGGTCGAGAATCCTGGTCGCACCAGGATTTCCTCGACCCTTTCTACTCATCTGGACTATTCAGGATAGGATTTGGCCGACCCTCCTGGTTGGCCTGGGTTTCATTATTCGGCCCATAGCATCTGTCATCACCTTGGGCCGAGCATATCTTGCTGCTCGGCCCAACCATAGTATTTTGGGCCCAAACAACTTGATACAAACATTTAGGTACCTTCAATATAATACATTTCGGTGCATACATTTTGGTACTAACATTTAAGTACATTAATTGAGTCTTTCAAGTTTGAAGGATGTTAAATAAAATTAATAAATTTAAAAAAAAAACGTTTTTTGGTCAAAAAATAAATTAAAATTTGTTTATTAATAAATTTAAATATTTAATGGGAGACATTAAATAAAATGCACATTGATTATTTTAAATTAAGGACACATCAAAAGACTATAATCAATATGTAATCTAACACCAGATTTATTTTAAATTTCAATCTTGTTAAAAAATCAGGAAAACTAATGAAAAATAAATTGAAAATTTTGAGTTTTAACAATAAAAACAAAATAAAAGGTAAAATGAATAGTATAATAATTGATTTTTTAGTATAAAAATATAATTTTTCGTTAAAATAAACAGTATCTAGAATTTTTCGTTAAAATTTCCTAAAAAAATCCCTATAGTAAATCAAAAATTCAAGGAGCGTGCAAATGTGGCTATGGTTGACAGATGTCGGGGAAGTCGTTAGATTTGATCGGCGTATGTAACGACTCTTATTAGACGGATATTATATGCAAATGCATTGTGCATAAAATGAACAAGGAAGACTAGGAGAAAGGGAAGGCTTTGCCACCTTGAGCTCACCGCAATCGCTGATATAAACGGTTTTGAGAGGCTTGTTCCACAGAGCTCGAGCATTCCCAGCTCTTTTGTCACCCAAAAACTCGGCGAAATCGTTGAATTGCTGTATATTCTCCGAAGGCCTGCAGGTCGGTATGGTAGCTATAGCCGTCACAACATCCATACCTAAACAAAGCAGACCAAAATTAATGGGAAATGTTTTCCGCAATCTCGTTTTCTGCTAATGGAGTCCTTCATTTGTTTGTGTGATAAAGGGCTCATTTCAGATTGCTGCTCGAGCAAGCATTTTTGGTTTACAAGCGCTTATGCTAGAACTACTTTCATCCTAGACACATTGAATTTTTTATTTAATTACAAGTGCTTAAAGAAGCAACTGAAAGTGCTTATCTGGAAGTGCTTTCTGTAGTATCGGGAAGTAGTTCCTAAAGTAACTGACTTTGATACAGTGCTTTTTGAACTATCGGAAGACACTTCTTGAAGACACTAAACTAGAGAAATACGGAGGAGAAAAATGGAGTGCGGAAATTAAATACTCGGAAAAAAGCTCTAACCTTCAAGCACGGAGCTGAAGACGATGTTCTTGTAATCGAGGTCGGGGCAGAGGTTGGGTCCAGTGGACCGGTGGTGATGAAGAATTCGACATTTGGTATTCCGGGTTGAGTTGATGTCGTCCTCATCGTCGTTCTCGAAGGGGCTGATGGAGAGGAGGCCGGGCGGTAGTGGGTGAGAGCGAAGGATTTTGAATCGACAGTCTCGGCGTTTTGTGCAAGGCTGGATGGGCGTTGGATTTTGCCAGGCTTGTCGCCCTGGTAGCCGACGAGGAAGAATTGGCTGGGGAAAAACTTGTGGATGATAGTGCCCTTGTAGGCGTAGGAAGTGCACATGGACTTGAAATTGGCGACGATGAAGGGGACGAGGTGGCCGTAGAGGCCGAGGACAAGGCGGCCGAGGGGGATGGAGTCCGGGCAAAGGTTGGGTTTCGGGTCGGGCGAGGATAAGGGGCGGAAGTAGGTGGCATAAAGGCTGAAGTCCATGAAGATGCGGTCGGTGATGGTGGTGTCGGGCGGCGGGGGAAAGGGGGGAGAGGCGTAGGAGGGCGGGGGCTTCAGGGCTAGGGAGAGAGGGGTGGAGAGGAAAATGGAGCGTCGTGTTAGGTGAGCAATGGGGTTCGGGTTTTGGCGATGGTGGCGGGAGAGAAGAGGTGGTGGACCTGGCGGAGGAGTTACAGAGCAGCCCATTAGGTTGGATTGGGCATGTTTTGTTCTTCTCGTTCTAATTTGGGGCTTTGGGAGGAAACCGAGAGAAGCCGGGATAGTGGGCCCTACTTTTGGATAATTAATCTGGAAATTTTATTAATATTTACTAGCATTTACCTACACATTTTGTATGTATAAATACATTTTTTTAGAAAATAGAAGGAGAGAAGGAGAGAGAGAACGTGGGGGGAGTGAGAGGTTTATGTTTTTGGTTTTTTTGGGTTTTTTTTTTTTTTTTTTTTTTTTTAAATATTGGAAGTATTTTAACATCACCTGCCTTACTTTTTGAACATGTGAAATTACATTATTGCCCATCATTTTTTTTTTGATATAGAAGACTAAGTAGTCTTTTCACCTTCTTTTAGTTGACAAAGAAGGTTTCATTAATTAATAGGGATTTCATTGTAATTTGTCGTTAACCGAGTGAAAATTAACCTTTTATATATTATTTCGAAACCATTTCTTGATAAATTTTAATAACCCGTCAATTTCATCTCATAAGATGTAAGTAGCCATTTACTAGTGATGGAAAGATGTTGAGCGCTTACATGGAAAGATGTTGAGCCCTTACATGACGGTATGAGTTTAAATTATGTTGACTTTTTTTTCTTTAGGAAGTACGTGACTTGCAAAAGTAGATTTAAGGACTTATTTTTTGAAAAAAAAAAGAAAAAAAGTCAAGAAAGTTAAATTTGAAGAGCAAATTAACATATAGATTTAAAGGCTATATGCAATATTAAGTGTTTAACTGTTTATAGGTGAGAAAACTAAAGATATTACGCTGGAGATTTCCAAACGCCTCGTAGAGGTTCGGTTAAAATTTACAAACCCCTCAAAGGCGCCTTCGGGTTATTGACTGGTCCAAGCTGCATTCATGAATCGTCCGTTTAAATTATCGTCAGATATTCATTCTAGTATTTGAAGGATGGAGTAAATTATTTTCTTAATCCAACAGAGTCAAAATTCCTTTCCGTTTTTAGATTTTCAACAACTCCTTACTTCAATTTTTTAACCCATAAAATTTCACGTTCTTACATTCGGGAATAGAGAATTAGAAATATCCTATTGATTGAAGCTTTCTCCCCGAACTCCTTTTTATGTAGTCAAAGCAAAGGCTTGCTAGGGTTTTGAGTCAAGGCTTGTTAGGTCTGCTGGCATGACAAAGTAGGAGGAGTTCTGCTTCCACCATTGGGACGGTTCTCTTCCCTTACCAATTGAACTCTCGTACTCTGACCCAATGAAACGAAAAAAATTCTTCCAATGACGAAACCTCTAAGACATAAGTTACTACCTTCAACTCGAAACTACGAAGAATCCACTTCATATATTTAGTTCAGCTTCTTATGTTTAACTTAAAAGGTTTGCGATACGTCAGATATTCATGTCTTCTTTATAATTCATATCTTGCTTGTGTATGTGCTTAAGTTTCTTTGCCTTTGCCAATTGTATCACACTGGTATGAATCCAAACTAAATATCCTGTACATGACCAGGAAAGTTTCAGAGAAATAAGCACTTACCAAAAAAGCCAGAAGGTTGCCTTTGTCAGGTGAGCTTTTAGCTTGCAGATGACGTTTTGCAACTCCAGTCTGTCGCCCCAGCCTACCCGTCGTTAGTTGCTCAACTGTCGCAGCTTACTTAGCGCTGAACTAAATGTATAATTATTTCTTTGAGTGATGCACTAAATGTATGATTATATTTTCTAGTGATGAACTAATGTTTCATGCACTAATTAGTGACGCAGTACTGCTGCAGATTAGAGGAAGATATGAATCGAGCAGTCGGGCGTGGCTACAATTTATTTTTTTCTTTTTTATCTTGTGTTGGTGATCTTTCAATTAGGTATCGAAAAATTCATCTCATCGCTCCCACTCTGGGGTAGGAAGGACGAAGAATGAGCTTAGCTTCCATGGCTCCTCAGGAGAAGAGTTTTTCGATATCAAGACTGGTGTGTTTGTTTTTTCCTGTCCTAAATTTATAATCTGATTGTTTTGATACATGACTTACCAACTTGGTGTAGAGTCTATAGACTTTATCTGTATAAATGGAATATTTGTAGCTAACGGAAGACTCGGAAAGAGATTATAAGAAAGGATATGGAGTAATTGTAGCTAATGAAAGACTTGGCACAAGACCAAGTGCAGTGGCAATCTACGATTCATACAGTCAACCCCGTTTAGTGAGATAAGGCTTGGTTGTTGTACAAGTAGTATTTTTTGTGTGCAATTTGTGGCGTAAATAAAAGTCTAAAAGAAAGGTGTTTGGGGGGTGATTGGGAGGATTCAAATAAACAAATGCCTCTTTCCAGACGATTTTATCTCAAGCTCTCCAGGTGACCTGGATGTCTAGATATAGAGCGAAACAAATAAATTATGTTACTTCTCAGTTGCTGACCTTTTCCTTGTTGCTCTGCTGTGACAAGCTCTCTAAATCTTGTCCGCGACATGTTACAGCACATTCGGGTCTTCTTTGTTCCGTACTGATGAGCCACCGAGAACAACAAGGCTGTTTCTTGGGGAACGAAATATTCGTTTTTGGAGGGCAAGAGCAAATACCCTTCAAGTTGTGCAGTGCGCAGCTACAATTGCGGTGGTATGGCCTGTTCTCAATCTCCACGTCCTGAATTGATAAACTTACTTCAATCACGCATTGAAGCATCATTGCCGCTATCCCAAGAATCATCCTTCCCACCTCTCCTCTCCTAAGCTTTAGTGGAAACCCAAGTGTAAGTATGTATGTGCCAATTAAGTTTTTTGAAAAAGTGTGCTTCCTTTTTCTACATATGTGTGTCTTTGAAGTGCTTCTGTTACATGTTTATATAGAACGCGGAGGGGTGTTTCTTCACGGAAGTGTAGGAGTAACCAAGAGTAGAAGTTTTGTTAGTTTCGTTACCCCGTTGAACTCAAGAGAAACTTAGCAATGGTGATGGTTCTTGGGAAAGCATTATTTTTTTTCAGCTTTTGTTTTTCATGAGGCCTTGTCAAAGTAGTTATTCAACAAGGCAGTTGGTTTTTCTTGAAAAAATCAGCTTCTCGAACACATGCTCTAGAGAGAGAGAGGGAGAGTTTAGACAAAACGATTTTCTTACTTAAGCTTAGTTGACTGTTTCTACGACTTTAACATAGTTTTCTCCATAATGACGTCTTTTAACTAATCTTGTTACCAATCCTATTGTTATGAGTGTGAGTTAGTTGATTGTTTCTACGCGACAACATCTCCGTTTTAGCACGGCGTCACCGTTCTCTCTCTCTCTCTCTCTCTCTCTCTCGTCCTTGTAGAATAGTAACTTTAGGACGTAAAATATGGTGTCACTGTCTCCCTCCTCTCTCGCTCTCGCGTTTTTGCCTCAACTTTACCTTATCGGAGTTGTCATTACTTGAAAATAACTAATAACCACTATCAGTAAGGTAGCAAACACTATCTGCTTCAATCCGTTTTACTGCTTCAATCCTTTTCATGGTCATTTTTGTATATCCCGGCCTTGTAATCTCGAATCTTGACTGCCTGGTTCCATTTATTTTGAGAAACAATGTTCTGATATGGTATTGGCAATTCATTCTGTGGATCGAGACTCCATGTCGTGTTGTTGCTTTGTGCAATAAGAATTTGAAAATTCGATCGTGACTTTATCTTTTGTGATAAATTGATAACATAATGCAGCTATCTTATAACTTAAATCTGTAAGTGAACTTCTCACAGTAACTTTTGATATCACATATTTGTAGAAACATAAATTTTTTACGAAGTTGAAACTTAAAATGCACTCGTGCAATTACTATTCACTAACGCAATAACTGCTTTGGCCCAATTGATGGGGCAACTATTGCCTTAATGGGATGTACATGGACTTGCTCTTAAAGCTATTAGAAACTTTGAGTGGATGTTGGAATTTTACACGAAAATTACACATTTAGTAATCTCAAAAGTTTTTAATCCTACTTTAATTCGAACTTTCCTTCTAATTCTGATATATTTTCCTCGTGTTTTCGGGTCATGTGAAAAGGTGAAAACATATGGGGAGTAACTCAACTTATGTATAAGTTCATGCAAGGTCTCTCTTTCCATTAACGTGTAATTCATTCTCAATAGAATATAGACAGAAACTTTGGTAGTCCTTTGTGTTCTCCACCTCTCTGTGTAAAATCTCATACTTGACGCTTTTGCCTATGATATGTTTCCTCGTAGCACCACTTCTTTGAGTTTTAGTTTTGGCAAGGCCTGTGAGCTTTGGAACCAAGGCATGCGTATTGGCAGCTTATAGTTTGTACTTCGCACTAACAAATTAAAAATGTACACTTTTCTTGGTTGAGTTGCTTATAAACACCTGCAAGCGAGCAAAGACTTCGCTATTACCAGACATGCCTCGGTCACGTGATAAATGTTATACTAAACAAATGAATATACCCGCCGTAAAAAGCAATTATCTCCTCTGCAATTGGAGGAGATAATGTATGATGATGGATTTTCTTTTTGTTGTAACTTGTTGTCTCATTTGGAGTGTGTACGGTGTACAACCACAAAACTATCTCTTTCTGTGTCATATTGTTGACCCTAAAAATTACAAAGCCTACGTGGCGCGCATGCCGAATAACTAATGAGCTAACTACGTCCTTCAATTGTATGCGGGGCGTGCCAACTCGTTGGCCGAGCTCGATCGAGGAGTAAAATTTGTTGATGTTGCGTTGAGCGCATTGCTAACTTCTTTATCTTGCGACTGCGACCGAGGAAGGAATACGTCTCGGTCTTTGGGTTCTCGAGCCTGAAGACAAGGCTGCTAGTTCTGCGAAGTTCAATATCAAATTCGGCTTTCAATGTGCCGAATGTAGTAACATGTAACACCTCACTTCGCCGAGATGGCTAATGAGATGACCTCTACCAATAAGGATTCGAAAATCCTTCTCGACTGAGACTTGGATAGATAATCAGTCGGCCTCGATGTAGTGCTGTTTATCCAAACTGAAGGTACTCCTTGGTCGGCTGATTCTACGGCAACAGTGCTGTTTATCCAAACTGAAGATGTTTGCCGATTGCCTTCACATTACTATTTATCCAAACTGAAGATGTGTTGGCGGAAAAAAAAAAAAAAAATCTCAAGATGTTTGAGAGGTTTGCGCAGGGCAGTTGTGTGTTGAATTGGATGTCATTTTTTCATTGCCATTGCATCTATATTTATAGGGCTAAAATACTTGCTTGGCACGGCTAGATAATTGTGTAGAGTCCTTTTGCAACTCAAACTCTGTCGAACATCACTTCAGAACTGGTGTCTAATCATCTTGGTTGTCAAATATCTCTAATATATGATAAAGGCTATCTCCTAATTTCCCTTGAAAAAATAAATATATATTTTCGCATACGTGACCTCACCAAATGAAAGCATCCTATTCCAACTGAAACTTCTCTTTTTCCACCATGTTAGTCCAGGTGCAACCGTGCATGCATACTAAATTGCATTTTATCTGCAACACAACCTGATCACTTTAAGAGACCATTCTCTATCAAAACCCATCTAACAAAATCTCAGGGTCCTTTATGATTATCCATGACTTTTCAACCAAAACAACACCTAGGCTTGTCACATCCCCAAGCCTATCACCTTGTCGCATTAACTCACACATACATTCATCCAATTGTGGTTGTATGCATGCACAATCCCATCCTTGCCTGCTTCATTGCCATGCGTATCCCAATATCACATATGTTCAAATCAATGGGGATTTAGACAAATATTAGGTTTAAATAATTTAATATATTATTAAGAGATAATATCATGATTAAAATCACAACATTATTTCCTGATAATAATTGAAAATTATTTCAACAACTTTGTCATTCAACGGTCTCGATTACTCAGGCCGATAGTGTAAAATCGGGTCCAAACATTGCCCCCCCAATTTCTTGAGCTTCGGCCCGTAAGCTGAATGGTCAAGGAAATTAATTATTTTGTAGCCAACAAAATCCCGTATCGTCAAAAAAAAAACTTTATTCCTTGGCAATAACATCTCCATGTTGCCAACGCTGTGGTCTTCCTCAGCTGCCACAATTCTATAGTAGGCTCAGCAACTTTGATAAATAACCTTGTAATCATGTCGACCATCTTGAAAGACAGAATAATTGGGTCGAAGAAAGCCAACTGGGGCCGAGGGCCGAGAAAAACCAAATCAGGCCGAAGTCTCGAGGACTGTTGCCCACTGCTTATCCTGGTACTCTGGATATATATATATATATATATATAGGTAGAGCACGGGATTGCCTGAACCATAGGGGCTTGTCCTGAATATCAACAAATGATTTGATGCTGCATGGGATGTCCCTCAGCTCAGTAGAACAACCTTTATTTAAACAAGCCTAGTGTGAATTGATCTACACGACTGTTAATCACGTAGACTTACTAAGTGTGCCGCATGGGACGTTCCTCGGCAACATCTCTGTATGTGTGTGTGTGTGTGTACACATGGCAGGCCAAATGACCCCATGGTCGAGCACTAGCAGGCCGAATGACCCCATGGTCGAGCACCAGCATTTTTGTGATTAAAAAAGGTCAAAAGTCTCAATGTTGGCCCTCTTCCCGATTTATATTTACACACACATTTGCCCATCAAGCTGCAAACATTAAATGGCTCGGCCTCATAACCTTTTGGCCGAGACTTTAATATCATTTTTTTTTTCAACGCTATGGTTAGCATCTTCCTTATTTTCTAGGCTTCGGCCTAGACAGCCGAGAGCTGTCTCATTTTTTTTTTTTTTTTGTATGAGGTCAGGTTTTGAGGTCCCTATTGTCCGCCTTATTTTCTCACGCATCGGCCTGAAAGGCCGAATAGGTTAAGAAAATAATTTATTCATTATATATATATATTTTAGCAAACGAAAATAAAAGTGGCTGAACCATAAAGTGAAGGAGGCCAATGATGTTTTATTCCGAGCCGAGATCTTTTAATAGCAAAATTCTCAAATTGATTTCGCTCTAGGCCGAATAAAGAATTTTCTCCAAATATTTTTGCCTTGGTGAAATATTTTTCATTTTCGCCGCCAAATGTGTTGAACAATTATTATGCCCCCTAGGCATAATTTCTTCTCCAATTTCGACTTTCAACTCGAACAACTTAGTCGAACAGGATTTCTCCATATCGACTGTATCACCAATAATCATATCGATTGGCGTGGTTTGTTCAACTGAAAGCATGAATTGGTCTTGTTCGTCATTGGAACACTTTTCTGACGAATTATTTTCTGAGTCAATTTTTGTCTGAGAAACTTGAACATTTTCTTCTAGGCCTACCACACTTTCAGTCTCGACCGAAAAAATAGGTGTCCTAGGTTTTTCTTCTTGGCCGACCATATTTTCAGTCTCGACCGAAAAAATAGGTGGCCTTTGTTCTTCGGCCAAATTAACAACTTTTTTAGGCTGAATGTTGGTTGTGGCCGGAGCAAAAAATTGCCCCCCCAGCCTTTTGATCCAACCATTCTTCAAATGGAATTTGATTTGAACCCAAAAGGCGTTCTCTTATCGAGCCATTCATAATATCAAGCTTTATCTTCATTTAACCATTGATCTTGTAAGTTGTGATGAACCTTCACCTTTATCATTTGAGAGAAAGATTTCTCCCTTTCTTTATTTGCTTCAACGATCCAGCCAAGGAGTTTTTGTTGCTCGACAATTTCCTTGAATAGACGCCAAATCTCATCCTAATAGTGATCTTGATATATCATGTGAACTTCGTAGTTTTAGCTTTGGGTCCCACTGGGCGTGCCAACTCGTCAGCCAAGCTCGGCCGAGGAGTAAAATTTGTTGATGTTACGTTGAGCGCGTTGCTGACTTCTTTATCTTGTGACTACGACCTAGGAAGTAACACGTCTTGGTCTTTGGGTTCTCGAGCCTGAAGACAAGACTGCTAGTTCTGCGAAGTTTAATATCAAATTTGGCTTTCAATGTGCCGAATGTAGTAACCTGTAACACCTCACTTCGCCAAGATGGCTAATGAGATGACCTCTGCCAATAAGGATTTGAAAATCCTTCTTGACCGAAACTTGGATAGATAATCAGTCGACCTCAATACAGTGCTGTTTATCCAAACTGAAGGTGCTCCTCGGTCGGCTGATTCTATGACAACAGTGATGTTTATCCAAACTGAAGATGTGTTGGCGAAAAAAAAAAAAAAAAATCTCAAGATGTTTGAGAAGTTTGCGCAGGACAGTTGTGTGTTGAATTGAATGTCATTTTTCCGTTGCCATTACATCTGTATTTATAGGGCTAAAATACTTGCTTGGCACGACTAGATAATCGTGTAGAGTCCCTTTGCAACTCAAACTCTATCGAACATCACTTCAGAACTGGTGTCTAATCATCTTGGCTGTCAAATATCTCTAATATATGGTAAAGGCTATCTCCTAATTTCCCTTGAAAAAATAAATATATATTTTCGCATACGTGACCTCACCAAATGAAAGCATCATATTCCAACTAAACTTCTCTTTTTCCACCATGTTAGTCCATGTGCAACCGTGCATGCATACTAAATTGCATTTTATCTGCAACACAACCTGATCACTTTAAGAGACCATTCTCTATCAAAACTCATTTGACAAAATCTCAGGATCCTTTATGATTATCCATGACTTTTCAACCAAAACAACACCTAGGCTTGTCACATCCCCAAGCCTATCACCTTGTTGCATTAACTCACACATACATTCATCCAATTGTGGTTGTATGCATGCACAATCCCATCCTTGCCTGCTTCATTGCCGTGCGTATCTCAATATCACATATGTTCAAATCAATGGGGATTTAGACAAATATTAGGTTTAAATAATTTAATATATTATTAAGAGATAATATCATGATTAAAATCACAACATTATTTCCTGATAATAACTGAAAATTATTTCAACCACTTTGTCATTCAACGGTCTCGATTACTTGAGCCGATAGTGTAAAATTGGATCCAAACACATATTCTTATGTGGTAGCCATCTTCAATGTCGACAGTGAATATTCCTAATACTTATATTCATTCGGCAAGAACAAGATAACATTTTCTAAATGGAAAATGATTTTTAAACTCCCCTTTTGTTCTTTGGATCTTCCTTTTATTTATTTTTTTATTACAACTGATATTACTATTCTAAGTTACATTAAAGATCGATTTGGGTTGTTGTGCTTTTATTATTATTATTATTATTATTATTATTATTTTAAATTGCTTATGCTTTGCTGCGAGACTAAACAGCTGTGAAAAAAAAAAGTGTTTTTAGTGAAAAAAAAAAAATTCAAGGTAGAATTGTCAATATGAAATTTAATATTGTTCACCTGCCTCTATTGATAAAAAAAATGTTATTTTCAGAAGCATGTATAGAGCTGCTTCTGCGTTATGTTGTTTTGGACTCATAATTTTTAAGAAGCTGCTTTCACTTACCAAACACAAATATGACCCTAACTTTTTTAAGAAGTTACTTTTAAAAAAATTAAGCAGCCCCAACCATTCCTAAGAAGATAGTTAAATTTGAACTCGAAAAACAGTGGATTGAGAAAAATACCTCATTCATCAATATTATTTCTTTATTTAGGTGCCTTGTATCTTTCGATGAATCAATTTATTTAATTTAACGACTAAAAAACAAAAAAAAAGAGTACGGAGAGAAAACCTAGAGTGCGGAAATTATTTTCCTCTTTCTAATTAGGTATATTAAATGACAGATTGGGAAGCATAGATGGAGGGACATGAGAACATGGATGGTATTTCACTTTGTGCGTCATTTCTTTTGTTTGTTCGTTTTCTTTTTCCTGTTTTGTTATCTCTATTAATTAATGAAATTCTCTTTGTCAACCAAAATAGGGTGAAAATACAACTTAGTAATCACACAAAAAAAATGATGGGCAATAATATAATTTCACATGTCCAAATTTTACTGTTTTTTATAGAAACCTCACCTACAGGTGATGTTAAAATATCTTTAATATTTAAAATAAAAATAAAAAAACCAAAAACCAAAACCTCCAACTCCTCTCACGTTCTCTCTCCCTCTCTCCATCTCTCCTCATTCTCTAAAAAAATGTGTTCATACACACAAGTTGTGTAGGCAAATGCTAGTAATATTTAATAAAAGTTGTTTTCAAATTTGTTGAACATGGTGGTGCAGCTGACTAAACATCCCATCCAGCGTAGAGAGATTTTTAGTGTGTAGGGTTATTGCAATCGGTACACTAACTGTAATATTATAATTGATGAGAAATTTAAAAAAAAATTCAAATTAATTATATTATGATATTTAATGTACTGAGTAGTGTTCTTGGCTCATTAAAAAATTTCTCTTAAAATACGTCAGTTGGTGTTTGGATTGTATTGTATAATGTATTGGTTTTATTAACTATTTGGTAATTAAACACACTCAAAGACTGATAATTACAGGTTTAATCTTTCGTTATGTTAACGGCTCTCCACATTCTAATGCATTGTTTAATCTAGATCGAAGAATCTCCAAATGTATCTGAAAAAGGTTTATCTGCAAGTCACAGTTTAATACATATGTAAGTATATTATACACATATGTCCGCTTACGATTTATTTGTTGAACTGAATGTTATAAGTAAGAAGTCAAAAAAATTTCCATATACTTGTATGCTTTTGGCACCGGCTCCAATTATCAACATCTTGAGAAGGTTTACCATTCTAACAAAAACATGTGACCTGTTATGTTATATTTTGATCACTCTCGATCCCACGTTGATTCCCTCCAATATAAAAGACAGCTCTGCCAAAGTTCTTCTTCAATAGCTCAACCCACAATCTAGCTAGATCCCCAAATTGGGTATTCAAGGAGAGTAAGGAAGAAGGTGATCCAAGATTTCATATTTGCAGTCTAAAACTACAAATTTGGAGTGAAATTGACAAGGCTGGATAGAAACAAATTAGAATCCAATATTCTGTTTAGTGAGTTCAAAACAGAAAGAGTGCATGTTCTTAACCAAAATACGATGATTGCCAGATAAAAAAAATGGCATTGATATGATGATGATCAGAAAAACTTACAAACCTCTCTGAGTAAACTCAAAATTAGATTTAATTACAAAACTTGATTATCCCATAATTATTGATCAAACAAAGTACACTTACTGTACTGATCAAATCACAAACATACATCAAACCTTGAAGAGAACAATCTCCTCCTCATCCTCCTCCTCCTCCTCCTCATCGCACAAAGTATCCAATTGTTGATGCGACTGCCGCCGCTGATGTAGCCGCCCGATCACATGGTGGTGCTTAGCCGGCGACGAAGACGGCGAGGAGTGCACAGAAGAACCGGCTGAAGCCACCAAAGCCAAGTTCCCTTCGCTCCAAGCCCGCCTCAGCGGATAGGACACTTTCTTACTCTTAGGCCCTCCGTGGGTACATTGCTTGTTACGTGACTTGTTGTGTAGGGCACAGCCACAGTTGCGGTGGTACGGGCGCCGCTCCACACCAATATCCAATTCTGATAAGCAACCCTCGTACACGCACCGGAAAAGCCCGTCCGCGGCAGCTCCTGCAGCGGCCATACGACAAGTTTAGGTGTTCGTATTGAATACGTGTTACAGGTCACAAATAAACACAAACGACGTGTTTATGCACCACCGCCCTCTATAAACGAAAAGTTACGCGTTAAGGGACAAGGGGGGCATTTATAGGAAATGGGGTTGTTGGTTGTTATATAGTGAAAAACGACGAGGGGTGGGGGGTGGGGGGAAGAGAGAGAGAGAGAGAGAGAGAGAGAGAGAGAGAGAGAAGTTGGTTGTCAGCTAGCTGGGTTGCTGGGTTGCTGCGTGTGATGTGTGAGAGCATATGAGGCAGTAATTCAAGGGTTGAAGGCGTGTGATGTGGGTCGGTCGTAGACTGAGTTAATTTTTGGCATGCTTGTACATGTGGGCGTGTTTGAGTGGAAATATAGCTATGAGTTAGGAGAGAAATTAGGGAGTGAAGTTAACAAGAAGAAATTAATTAGACACTCGCAATTAGTTAGCTATACTTTTCTGAGTGATTTTACACAGTTGTATGGTGTTATTAATCTATCTATATATGACTATAAAAGAGTATATATAGGCCATTTATGCAAAGGGATTTTTTTTTTTTGAAAAAAAAGAAGGGGATTAGGTGTGGAACCCACTCCACATCAAATCACAACGGTCCTAACCGTTCATTTTGTAAGTCTCGATTCATAGATCATCATTACAAAAATTCAATTCAATCTGAAACCATTTGCCTATATAATTATCAACATCATATTTCATTGTTTCTTATATAACAAAGTATTCGTTCATTTCTTTGAACCCAATTAGATGTCTTAAATATTTCCAATTTGGCTATATTTTGCAAGGATGATCTATGAGGTACAACTTGATAAATAGACGGTTCGGATCGTTAAAATTCGATGTGATGTGGACCCCACAACTAATCTCCATTTTTATAAAAAAAAAAATGAGGATCCTTTCTCTTAAGGGCTTCCTACACACACACACACATACACATGCATACATGCATATATATATATATATATATATAATTGATGATATATTAATTATATTGTTCATACATATCATAGCAAGTGAATTAACGTGTACTTATATTATTTTTTAAATGACTAAAAGTGCTTTATGACATTCGAAAGTATTTCTACTTGCACTTGGCAAAAAAAGTTTTAATTTGTTTTTGCTAAAAATGTTCATGAACGTATATGCATTTTTAAAGACCCGGTCTCAAACGCGCTCCTACTAACATCATATGATAATGTGATTGTACGCATTCTGAAAAACTAGAATTCTGATTAGGTCACTTTAAATCCAAACTCATTATATATATATGAGGTTAGGATTAGCTTAGCAATTATCCATCTTTGTACTTGTTTGTGGGTGTGTTTGGTATATTGTAGCTGCCGCCTATAAAATATCTTGTTCACCAATCATGTTAAAGAACTATTTTTTGGGCAATTTGTGGGATTAACTAGCCAACTAGCTAGCAAGATTACTTCTCAAAACGAAAGATCAACTTTCGTGGGGCTACTGACTTACTTGTGTCGATGAGAATTTTTGTGGCTTGAATTTGACACATTAGGGTTACTTTATGAGCGATCAACAAATTTATAATATGAATGAGCAATATGCATTACGTAAATGAGAGAGTAGATTTAAAAATATCAGCCATATTAATTTTCATGTTATAATATGAGCGGTCAATAAATAAGTATACCAAACGTAAATGATTAAAACATCATCTTACGAATGTCTTTAAACGTTTATAACGAATGAATTGATACAACAAAATAAAAACATTTGTAGTGGGAACTAATTAACTTTGCTGCTGCTTACACCCAATCTTTACTGGACACGTGTCTGAGTTTTGATTAAAAAATTAAAACTTGAACATGTGTCCAGCCATAATTGGATGTAAGCAGCAGTTATTGCTGAATTTGCAGCAGTTAAATTCAATTTTGTGTAGTGTACGTAGGATGCATTTTGAAAATTGTTGAACAAAACAAAGAAAAAAGGATGCTTGTAGAAGATTAAAGCACATGCATATGCGTTTTGAGTCCTTTGGTTTCAACACCAACACCACCAAAATATTGTACTGTTGCTTGGGATTAAGAGCTAGCTTTGATTAATCAAAGATGCAAATGAATATTTATATTAGCTTAATTAAAGAACGGCTTTTTGGTCAAAATTTCAAGATTGATGTAGTTTCTTACTTTGATTTTTTAACAATGAAAATCGATGAAATGACTCTTAAGTGTGACAAATTCAATAATCACTTTTATCGACTGCTCATTCAATAATAACTTCTATGAATTTTCAATATTAGAAATCAAAACAAAAGTTATATAAGTCAACATCAACAACTATTTTAGCTAAAAAGAAATAATAATCAAACGGTTGAGATTTTACGTTGTCAGAAGGAGGTAGCATTTTGGGAATCTGGGATCGGGTCTGGGAACCAAAGTAGCATGCAGCGACAACTGGACGGATACTTCTGCACCGCACTATCATGTGAGCTAAGCAACCCATGTGAGTCTTGGTAAGGGGATGCCAAAACTTCTCCATCGATCGCAGTAGTAAAAGAGTAAATGCAATCTAATGAAGGGGAGAAAGAAAAGGGCAGAGAGAGAGAGAGAGAGAGAGAGAGAGAGAGAGAGAGTAATTGGGCATGCCAACTCATTTATCGTGCTATGCTTGGAATTGGAGATTCACGTAGTCGTATACTAGAATTACTTCGTGTTACCAACTCATTTATCCTAATGTTATTATGTGTTGTTATTATTAGTAGCTAAGGAGTTCATAGTTTATCAAATTAACGATGTTCATTAAAGAATATATATCAAAGACATGTACATATCCAAATACCAACATAATGGTAAAAACAACAACTTCAAAAACATCAAACTAAAACGAACAAAAGTCGCGCAAACTACTAAAAAACTCACTTCACCAAAATCTTGCATTGCATAAACCGTATCCAAGCTCGTCACCGAAAACAATCAAATCCTATACCCCTAAATAGTTTATAATTTAAATATAGAATTAGTGGAATAAATATACTGTGTATTTATATGTACTACGTTACACAGATAGTCAGAAAAATGCATGTAAGAACTTCCCCTACCCTAAACCCCGAAAGTCAACATGCAGATTCCAGTTGCACAACTAGTCACGAGAATGAGAGATTTTTCAGTGTGATCGGAACATAGAACAGTACATCACATATCACTATACAAATGATGAGATATGTGTGTTAAAAAGGTAATAACTTAAAAAATAAAATTTCTCACCATTTATATAAAAATATATGATGTACCACTTGTATTCCAATCACAATAAAAAATTTCTATATGAGAAGAGGAAAAACAAATTTTCCAGTTAATAAAGTTGGCAAAATCTAAGCTAATATGCCCACCTGTGGTCACATCTATTTAAATCATGGGAGGTAGGATCTTTCTATTTCTTCCAACTGCCTTTGCTTGTAAATATTAATTAAAAAATTTCACCATTAAATGGGAACCAAAGCCAGCCAAGAAAAAGATTCAAACAAACAACCTTCAAACCCTAACCACCATTTATGTAACAAACTAATTAGTATAGGTAAGACCCTCAGTAATCTTTATTAATTTCCATCTCAGAAGTATCAAATTTGATTTGATTGTGTTAGAAATAAAATATGATATAAAAGCGAAAGTGAAGAATAGAGAGAGACGAGAGAGAGATTGGGAGAAGAAAATCAAAGTGTGTACTTTCATTACCATTCGACGCCTTTATATAGGTAACAGTAACTTGAAGGAAAAACCCTTGTATCTCTAATTACATCAATGATCGATAAGATTAACTAATATTACACAATAGGTTACGAATATGAACAACCACATAGACATAAATATTTACAACAATACTCCGCCTTGGATGTTCGTGCGTTAATGAAGTTATGTCCACTTTAAATGATAGTTACCTCAATAAAATATTGCTTGGAAAACCCAATGGGACAAACCTAAGTAAAGGAGAGAAATCGAGCACAATTTTGGAAACACTGGTAAGGTGTTGGACGCACATAATGTTGCCTCGCTAAAACCTTGCCCAAAAAAAAAAAAACTCAGTAGGATAAAAACCTGGTTGAAGAGAAAAGAGCACAATGCGCTTATATGTACATTATACCACATTGTCAAAAACTCCCCATCATAAATAACTCCGCTAGATAAGTGACTCCCCATAATGATAGTAAGCCTTGATTTGATTGATCATCATTGTCGATTTTGAAGTAATGTGAAGAAATTGAACTTGAGTAGAACTTGACTCTTGAAAGCGCGAAAGTTTATCAAGAATTGACAACAGCCGTTTGTACTCCTTCAAAGAATAAATAAATACAAAATAAAATATAGGATTCAAAATAAATTAGAAGTAGTTTATTAAACTCCATAGTAAATATAAATAGATCATATATACAAATAGCCTCATAGGGCTTTCAATAATCTTATAAAAACATGAATTCCATCAAGAGTATGTTGTAACAATATAACTTTAGTTCGAACTAACAAGAATATTCGTTAAGACAATTTATACCAAACTTATATAGAATAGGCATTGACTGTATGCTTTGAGCTTTGGGCCTGAATCACTTTTGGTTTGGGCTTGAGCCTTTTGCATCATGTCCATCATATTAATCTAAAGCATATTCCAACTGCATCCTCCTCAACAGTCCGCGTAGAACCGCGCACGCTTCCGTTGGTTTGCGGATCCAAAACTCTGATATCGGACCTTCCGTCTCTCTGTGGCGGCGACAGCGCAAAAGCTAACAGGGCAGCCATGGCTGGAGGAAGAGGAAGAGGCAGAGGAAGAAGAAGACCCCACATCAACGACAGCAGCAACATAAACGGTAGCAGCGGCAGAAGAAGAGCGTCGTCGTCCTCCTCCTCAAAGTCCAAATTTCGAGGAGGTCTGTTCGTGGAAGGCGGCATTTTATCCGATTGGTCGTCCCCTCAAACCGATCAGCGAGGTTGTTCCTATATCCCTATCGAAGGATCATACTTTGCTAATTTTTTGTTTGGTTTCCGGGAAAATAATGGGAACTGGGATTCGGAACGGATGTTTTGATTCAGTTTTAACTTATAACTGCTGAGATAGCCAATATGTTTCCAGATTGAAAAGATTCAAACTTTTGCTGTATTTAGTTTTGGGTTTTGAATTTCA